CAATGACCTTTGAACACGTATGAAGGCTTCGACATATATTGATAGATAAATGGCAGGATTACCTAGGAATGGCCATTCTCTTCATCAGATGTCTGTTAAAACTACAAAAACTACGGTAAAGAAACTGTCCTGAGAGTTGAGGTGATAGTACCCCTGGTTAAAAAGACAGATCAAAGCGAATGCTGCAGTTGTCAGGGCGCTAATTTATTGACCCTCTTGTGAATGTCCACGCAAGTACCGAACAGAAAGTGCCGCGGAACAGCTGACTCTAAGTTCCAAGAAGAGCAGTATGGCTTCAGGTCAAGCCAAAGCACTTCTGGTCAGATCTTCTCAAGACAGATTGTTGAGAAATCGCAGGAGTTATCTTATCCGGTTTAGGTGCTTTGTTGACCAAGAGAAAGCCTATGAGCAGATTAAGCGTAACAAACTATAGGTGCGTCTGCAACAATATTGGATCGGTGACCAGTAGTTTTAAGCCATCCAGCATTAAGTGTTGATAGCGTGTTACATCTAAGTAAATGACGGTAAGTGGATACCTTTCAGCGTCATCAGTCTGTCTTCTGTTTGTTTTACATGTAAATGATGGCTAATGGTTAGTCAAGGCAACGAGTGTCTCAGCACAGGAGATATGCAAACGAGGAGGTTGCAGTTTGCAGACGACCTTGTTTTGAAACCTTCCGAAACTAGTCTTCAGCGTTCTTTGGAAAGCTTCACTGCCGAGTTCAACATGGCCTGCACATCTCAAACCAAAGGCCTATGGCTTTTGTTGTTCAACTGCCTGATACGCCCTGCTGACAAACGAAAGAGCAATGGAAATGAAAGGGGTGGCAAAGCATTTGTCTATGTAGCTAAGAAGAAAATCAGCAGTGTCAGAAAAATAACTTCCCTCCCCTGCAGAAATCCAGGGACTGCCCAGAAACGTGAAGGATGAAGTTTCTCAGTATATAGAAAGGCATGTTCAGCTCACAAATTGCAGAGGCTAAGTCACTGATTGGTTCTGGCCGAGGCTGTAGCAAATTTTAAAGTTTTAAGCGATAGTTCTCCGATAACCATTCACTCAGCTGAAACCAGAAGCCTCTAAAATCTGCATGAGCTATTACTCAGATTATCATCCAGAAATCTTGTCCCGGGCTACGTACTCATCGTTTTGTATTTAATACAGTCTAGCTGTCAGCTGAACTTGGTTAATACGGTATTCCATCAAATAAGATGCTGAAACCTTCAGCTGCAAGACGACGCCTGTGTCTAATAAACCTTTCCAATGTGGTTTCCGGTTCAATGCATGCACAACGATGGTATATTCGAAGCTAATGACAACAAATTCAGATTCACTGCTATAAGCATGTTATTTAGAAATCTGAAGCACAAAATGAAACTGCACAAAAACGGCACAACTGGCATGCATAAATAAAGCACAGTATCACAGACAGTACTATTTACAAGACTTTCAATGACCGATCGACTGAGTACTAATCCTTTTCTTTGTACTGATTGACTGTTACGGTCCAACCTAGCACTTGTCGGTCGAATCCACATGATATTAAGTTGCAAGATGCGGTTTCGTCCGCCCAAGCGGCACAACATACCATTCGGCGGTGTCCCTAAACAAGCATATTAAAAATGTGATAAATAACAAGTCGAACGAATGGGAACAGGGCAGGAAATAGTTACAAAAGGTAACAAGAAACAGGGGTGTAGCGCGATTTTGCGGTATTCGATAAGAGATCAGTAAGCAAAAATCTGTTGATGAGGCTATTTTTATGCATAATTATAATTTTAATCGAGATAATAACTTTAAACGTGAAAAAAAATTTACTCGCTTTTCAACCAAGAGAATAATGTCATTTAACACTTTCTCCTAGCAGAATTCAAAAAACAGCAGTTATTTGCAGTGAACCCGCAAAATTGAAATAACCAACCTCCCAGTACAACCGGAACAGTATCATCTGCTTAATGCAGTTATGCAGCAACAAAAAACCGAAAACAAAGACGTAGTGCAGTTTACAAGCGGAGCAAATAAGTTTATGATTTTATTCATGCAGCATTATATTCCAACGTCAAACAATCAATTCACGTTTTCAAATAGTAGTTATGAATAATTACAAATAAAAATTACAAAACGTCTATAACCTGATACATAAATGCAACTTTGTGCGCAACTGAGCGTTGTTTAATCCCGAAAAAGACAATTGCTGTACGGTCGAAACGTTGCGATGATAAAAACTTTGCTATGTTGAAACAGACCACCGTTGCGTACAAAGCACTAGCATAAAGAAGCATTTCAATTTAAAAATATGGAAACATCAATCATGAAGTTCAAATCTATATACTTCGTGGAGTGATTAAACCTAATTGATCGAAACCAATAATCATTGTTCCAGCAACGAGGTTATAAGAAAAGTAAAGCAGGTTTACAATGCAATGAAACGAAATGGATACCTAAAAAAGTTCGTCGAGGCTTAGAACTGCATATGAAACAGAAGAATTCCTCATTCAACATCTGCATACCATATTTTTCAGGTTTGTCAGGATCTATCCAGCGGATTATGAACTTCGCTAACATCAGGGTTACTTTCAAGTCAGAAGGGAAGGTAAAATCACTAACAATAGCAAAAGATCGGATACTGTGTGAAGACGCCGCGGATGTGGTGCACTGTTTCCCGTACAATCTAAGAGACACTGGACAGGCATCACAGTCACTGCCGGTTAGAGTTACTCAACACTAGGGAGCAGGCCAAAAAGCATTGCAAAAAACTGTACATAGCCTCTGAACCGATCCATCATCACAATGCAACTAGCGTGCGTCACACGGACTTCGCGGGAAAAAGACCCAATGTAGTGGTATCGATCTTTGAAAACATATTTTTAGAAAGTTTCTTGATTCTGACCAGGAAAAATGTTGAATCGGGACTGTGGGCTAGATATGTTAAAACGTATTAAATTCGCCTAGAGGAAAGGCTAAAGACATTCCAAGTCAATGTAGGGGAATAAACGGCCATTTCGCTGGTACCTGCTGAAGATGACGAGTGCTACACGACAGATGAAGAATAAACTTGTTGACCGGAACTAATATTGACATAACATCGGAAGGCCGACTTTCACCTCTAAAGGCAAAGGAATATCGGCGGTGAGATTCATTACTTGGGTAATGAAGACCAGAAACTCTGCCCAAAAGCTGGTCTATCTAAACAGTTCTAATTTGTCTTCGTAAATATTTTAAGTACAAGTTTTCCATTATTGCTAATGCCTCACATGACGCAAAGTTTCTTTGGAATGCTACGAAAAAATATGTTCGTAAAAACACTAGATTGAATATCGAAAAAACAGTAAATGGTATTGTGGGAAGATCTTGAGATCGATGACACGGAGCTGAAGAAATTTTTTGGACCAATGTGGATGAGAAATGTAGGAGACGAAATTTTGACGAAACCTTGGAGGCCTTCATCCATCAGTGAATCGATAAAAACACATCACGATGATCGCAAAACTGCGCTTTTCTACTGTTTTATCATGCTAGTAAAGCATAACTGCTTCATGTAATTATGATATGA